AATAAAAACTATTCTATCGACTATTGTTGTACCGAATCTCTCTAAAATAAGTTCAGTGGTTAAGAGTTAGAGAGTCCTGGGGCATTGACGCATAGTTCCCGTTCTCGTGGACATCTGTGAAAAAACTATCATACGTTACCCAGGTCCCAAATCATCGTTTTACCGAATGTAATTCAAAAAGATTCAATGATTCTAAATTCAATGGCTAAGAAGATTTATACAAACTCTCATTCCCTATTTTATCCCCTTAGGGGTGGAATTTATCAAAATCCTTTCAAGGAATACCTATGTCATAACTTTATGCATGCAAAGTCTCAGCCCGATCAATTTAAAACTGCAAAGTATCATACAAACTTTCACCCCTATTTTACCCACTTTGGGGTGAGAATGTTCAAAACCTTTCTAAAGGGACGTTTACGTCATAATATCCATCTGCACGCCGAATTTCAACCCGATCGGTGTAAAACTGACAAAGCTTCATACAAACGTTCATCCCCTATTTTACCCCCTTGGGGTGGAAATTATCAAAATCCTTTCAAGGATGCCTACGTCATAACATCTATCTGCATGCCAAATTTCAACCGATCGGTTTAAAACTGACAAAGTCTCATATAAACTTTCATCCCCTATTTTACCCCTTGGGGTGGAAATTATCAAAATCCTTTCACATCGGATGCTTACGTCATAACATCTATCTGCTGCATGCCAAATTACAACCCGATCGGTTTAAAAACTGACAGTCTCATACAAACTTTCATCCCCTATTATACCCCCTTGGGGGTGGAAATTATCAAAATCCTTTCACAGCGGATGCTTACGTCATAACATCTATGTGCATGCCAAATTTCAACCCGATCAGTTAAAACCTGACAAAGTTTCATACAAACTTTCATCCCCTTTTTTACCCCCTTGGGGGTGGAAATTATCAAAATCCTTTCAAAGCGGATGCTTACGTCATAACATCTATCTGCATGCCAAATTTCAACCCGATCGGTTTAAAACTGACAAAGTCTCATATAAACTTTCATCCCCTATTTTACCCCTATTGGGGGGTGGAAATTATCAAAATCCTTTCACATCGGATGCTTACGTCATAACATCTATCTGCATGCCAAATTACAACCCGATCGGTTTAAAACTGACAGTCTCATACAAACTTTCATCCCCTATTATACCCCCTTGGGGGTGGAAATTATCAAAATCCTTTCACAGCGGATGCTTACGTCATAACATCTATCTGCATGCCAAATTTCAACCCGATCAGTTAAAAACTGACAAAGTTTCATACAAACTTTCATCCCCTTTTTTACCCCCTTGGGGGTGGAAATTATCAAAATCCTTTCTTAGCGGATGCCTACGTCATAACATCTATCTGTATGCCAAATTTTAGCCCAATCTGTCCAGCGGTTTGGGCTGTGCGTTGATAGATCACTATGTCAGTCAGTCAGTCAGTCAATCACCTTTGAATTTTATATATATAGATAATAATGTCTTTACATAGTAGTTTATGTGTTTTCAGATACAAAATGTGGTTCATTCTGTTCTTTTCTAACTAATAATTTTATCTTATCATTCCGATAGTGCAGCCATCGAAATTTCCCAAATTCGACTCATAAAAATTATCGATTTATAAAAGTACCTACATCGATCAAAACGCATGCATTAGCAACGATTTGTGGCGAACACTTTGTTGATCCGAAAATCTGTGTTGATCCGACGCTTTTTCTTAATCCATTATTCATCACTGTTAAGGTATGTAGTTCGGATCGGATCAACTTTATTATATCTGTGGATCAACAGCTGCACTGACGTGACTGATTTCTGACGGTCTCCGATGTTGATCCGATATTCAAATCCATCCTGCGATACGCATGTTAATCCGATTCAAATGAGCCAATCACAGCAAACCGACTTCGCCACAGGAACCGATTTTAAGGAATCATTCATTAAAATTGTGCGTCTTTAATTAACACAAGAAAGAGGGCATCGGGTCATTTGACCCAACGCAAAAAAATCTTAATTTTATAAACGCGTGGCGTGTAACATGTGGCGCGTGGAACGGGCGACCCACTGAATGCAGCGCTGACCTATGGGATTACGTGAAAGAGCACGCCACGCGGTCGCACGCGCCGTGAGTACGCCTAACCCATTGCACGGCCTCAGACTCTTACTGAGTAAAAACCACTCCATTTCTACTGCTGCTCTTTGAGCCGGAGCCCCGGCAACCCGTTAGGCCTTCCGCGGCTCCGTATAGGGTAGTACATAGGTACATAACATAACATCACGCCTTTCTTCCCCGAAAGTATAGGTAGAGGTGCACATTACGGTACTTAATGCCACTATACAATGTAGCATGTCGCGGAGAACCTAACGGGTAACCGGGACTCCGGCTCGACGTGCAGGAGAAGGAACGGGGTGGTTTTTAGTCAGTAAGAGTCGGACACTCCCTCCCGCCTCACCCAGGCGGGAGCAGTCATTCGATGGTTTTCCCCTATTAAAAAAAAATACAATGTAACATTCACTTTTCACTATTTATGTTATGAGTCCCGTGTAATAGGGAGTGAGCCTATTGCCGTAGTACATACACTTACATAATAATATAACTATATGTAGTTACGATGTTTTGTTTCAGTTTTGTTTACAAATTCAGTTACATAATTTGAGTACGGAACAAAAGATACTACAGGCCCTAAGCAAAGTAATTATTCACGCGGTGTCTTTTGTTTAGCTTGACTCAAATTATTACCGAAAAAAAACCAAACTATGTATAATGTTTTTTTCTACCAAGTTTCAAATTTAAATAGAATAATTTATGTAAGTACTACATTTTGTTAAGGACAAGCTAATGATTTTGAAACAATATAAGGTAATACATAATACGATAAGTAGGTAGGTTTATTTTTGACAACTGTGTCAAATATATCAATCTTACTTGCTTAACATAATAATGTTATTATGTACGTTATATTGGGGTTTTTTATTTATACAAGATGTGACTTTTTTATTCGTGTTTTAATTTCAAATTAAAATATGACCCAGTAGGACCTGCAACAGCAGTGACGGGTTGAGACTCTCACTTCTCGAAACTTAACTAGTATCTGTGTGAATTTATTCAAGTTATATGTACTTTCTAAGTTTATTTAGACGCCACCGATATACGGTAAAAGAAGACATCGTGAGGAAATTAGGATTTATAATTTCTAATTATAAGTTTAAAATTACCAACACGTTTTGAGCAAGCAAATCCTCTCCATGTGAGAAGAGGCCTTTGCTGAACAAAAGGTACAAACCAAAAGAGATACTAAACAAAAAAAGGCCTTTACTCAACAAAACTAAAAAGAGTCTTCAAATTGAGTAAACCATTGAATGCCTTTATTCCTGTTTAGTTCGGGGATCGACAACAAGGAAACAAAACGCTCGATTAGCCAATGGAATTACTTAACGACAATAAAATTACCACTCAACGGGAGATTACCACTAATTGTGTTTGTACACAACAAACAATACAATTATAGGACTATTAACTATTTTTGTAGCCTTGTGATACAATACAAATAAGTATCAATCAAATATAAAAATCTTGTGATAGATTGACTGACTGACTGACAAACAATGCGCAGATCAAAACTATTGTAGAAGGCGAAATTAAAATGGTGATAATCCCCTTGAATAAAGACGGCAGGTTAAAAGAAATTGTTGCTGCCATTCGTTCCGTTGGGTACTGTTAGAGCTGATTGTGACAGGTCTAGTTCTCTGGTATACCGGAACTTATTGGACTGCTGATCTCGTAAGTGCGGATGCGAGCAAGGCTGACCAGAACCAGACCCGTGCGTACGGCCCGTTGCGTTCTGCGCGCGCCTCAAAGAGCCATCAGACCACCACAGATGGGGCCCAGTAGGGCTGAGTCCCGATACAGAGCCGCGGAAGGCCTAACAGATTGCCAGGGCTCCGGCTCGAAGAGCAAGAGTAGGAACAGAGTGGGTTTTAGTCTGTAAGAATCTGACACTCCCTCTCGCCTTACCCAAGGCGGGAGAAACCAATGGATGATTTCCCTCCCTAAAAAAAGACTACTGATCTCCAATCCGCTTACTAGGCGAGGAAATTGTGGAAAGACCTCTTATGTACCTAGGTTCAATAGTGAACTGTCAAGGACATTTGATGATAATGAACTTCTACGGCATATTTCTAAATTCTTAACTAATGTTTTAAACACTTCAATAAATAAGATGCAAACACTGTTCGATAGTAATGTCCTTTAAACTATCAATTAAGGCCAAGGTATTTGACGCCTATCCGCATAGAAGTGAATGGAGAATTTTCTATTTATTTCAGTTTAATTACTACGTAAATGTATCTAAGTAGGAAATAGGTAGATATAAGAAAAACGGTTGTAAATAAAGGTATTAAATTTCAACATGAACTGTGCTTGGTACTTAGGTATAAAAATACTTCATTTTTCTTATACGTTCAATACGAAAAAAGGCATAAGCTATCATTTTGCCTTTAAACAAAATAAAAGAGACATATCTCCAACGTTTAGTTTTTTATCAAATAAAAACATGAAATGCTAGAATGTAACTTAACAGCAACTCTATACTATTTCTAAGATACGTCGCGTAAACCATAGTCAGCGCCACCGTATCGAAACCTCGTAAAACAAAATTTTAAATCATCCAATTCCTTATCGCTTAAAGACGATGACACACAAAATACAGGTCCAACTTAACTAAACCAACATTTAAATATGCAAAACTAGAACTACCGTTATAAAAAATAACGAACCCTTATATGTAACCCAAGCAACGAAACAGTTCGACCTTGCCGCAAATATTTCAAGGAGATCCTTATACAAAACGTGTTTAGAGTAAAAAACGATAAAATATAATATAGCCAATGATGGTGTGTGAAACAAAACATGCTGTAGCTGGGCATGTCGGAGTGCCGTACTAGTTAAACAGGGTTAGGATGAAGATCATTGTAGTGACAAGCCGCGAGGCGAAATGGTGAGGAGAACGTTTGTTGTGAACCGTGTGCCCAAAAATGGTGTGACATCGGAAACTGTCTGTGATAGAGAAAATGTAGACATTGAAGAAGCTATCCAATTAACCGGTAAGTTCAAGTGTTATGTGAATTTTAAATATTTATAGTTAGTAGTGATTTAATTGATTGACGTGATGTTTGTTCGTTATTTTCAAATTATAGGATGTTCATTTTTAATCAATTTATTAATTTCTCTCGTCTATTTGGGCATGATTAATAAAAAGATATTAGTAACAATAATTTGGACGGGAAACTTTTAGCGGCGGTTATGTTAAATTATTTTTTATATATCATTAGTTTTTATTGAATCGATTTAGAACTATAGCACCGTTGGTGAATTATTTGATACTAGTGTAAATTATTTAAATGTGAACAGTACAACAAAAATATTCCAAATAATAAAAATAGAATAACGGCTTTGAAAAGGCAAGACCAGCTTTAGGCTAAACGTTTATAGGTCACTTTGGATAATATAAGAACTGACATTTGACTTAAAACTAATTAATTTTTTAAAGGTTCCTTGTCATCAACTACTCAAAAGTGGTTATAAAGTTATTTGTAAAGTTCTCAAAGAATTGAAATAAATATTTTTTCATCACTACAAACATTATTGAATATACCACTCCTTTCTAATTACTCAGTGATAGACCGATCTGCTGCTGCAAAACATGTCACGGGATGACGGCTCACAGGGTTAATTTTTTTTCGGAACAGTACCTTTCCTTTCGCAAATTGGTTGTACGGTATGCTTGTGTTAGGGCACAGGAAAAAATGTGGGAGAGCTATGCTTCGGCACGAATGGGCCAGTTCCACCGGAGTGATACCACGGCCTCACAGAAAACCGACGTGAAACAACGCTTGCGTTGTGTTTCGTCGTGTGAGTGAGGTTACCGGAGGCCCAATTATCTTCCCTCCCACTTCCCAAACTGCTAAATCCCTGAAGCTCCAACAATCCTTAAATTCCTAATGGGTATTAGGAATTAATTTATTTAATTATTATGTTTTTCGGCTTACTCACGTTGGTAACAGATTTCTCGAGGAATTGGACTAGTTTCAAGCCATACTAGAGGCTCATATTCATAAGCAGCATTCCGTGACACACGATGCGGATTGTCGCGCTGGGACAAAGCCTATTGGTAATTGATTTCAGACTTCGTGATTCATCTGATTCCTTGTCTCAAAAGGCTCATTACGCACTTGTAACGATCTGGTGCTCCGAGTGTCCATGAACAACGACGATTGCTTAACATCAGGTGATCAGTCTGCTCGTTTACTGGCTTATCACATAAAAAAGTACTTTTGCGGTAAATTGTACCATTTACTAGAAATACAAAGTATATGCGTTGTGCAATGGGATCATAAAACAATATTGTGGTCTGTTTTATCATTTTTATAGTGATTTACGATTATAATAGTTCTTAATCTTCTCGATTAACTATCAATTGTTTCTGTCATGTTCGTGACATTACTAGGCAATAAGATTTCTATGTAGACAAATTTTATGTTTTATGAAAGTGGGTAAAGGTGTACGTATTTTTTATTATCTCCTTGATTCTATCAGCGGCTTCGTCCGCGCTCCCGATTATGTATAACATTGAATAGAAGTAAGTACCTATACCTAATACGGCATAGATACTTACTTCTATCCACTCACAGTATCTCTATCACTACACAGGAGAAGGAACGGGGTGGTTTTTAGTCAGTAAGAGTCTGACCTCCCTCCCGCCTCACCCAGGCGGAAGCAGTCATTTGATGATTTTCCCCCGTTAAAAAAAATACCTATTTTTTTTTGTTTTTTTTTTTAAAAACGTTGCCCCACACTAGGATTTTCTCCTGTGTCGTGGGTGCGTTTATAAACATACAAGTTCACATACACATGACACCCAGACCCGGAACAACAATCTGTGGATCACACAAAGAGTTGTTCCGTGCGGGAATCGAACCCGCGACACGTTGCACGGCGGCCAGTTGCTCAGCCACCGCACCAACCGTGTTGTCTATTACGGCGTAACTAACAAAAAGTGGGTGTATCACCATTTGGGCTTGCTTTAGGTGACATTATCTTGTTACTAATGCGAATGTTTATGTGTAAGCTTGTTAATCTTTTACGTCAATACGGCTGAAGGGTTCGGAATGAAATTTAGAATAGAGGTAGATTATGATTTGGAGTAACATATAGGCTGTTTTATCCCACGCAAATGGGGACAAAGCAGCTGGGTAAAGCTATTACTTAATATAATAATAAAAAGCTAAAGGACTAATTCGTTTGTTTGAACATGCCAAACCCCTGGATTACTAGTTTAAACTGAATAATAATTTTTGTTATTTTGTATCAGATAATTCATTTATTCAGTTAGACTATATACTTATAGGCTATTTATAAAACTAGGTCAATAGTTAATTGTAAATAACGCATTTCTGGCGTAAACCAGCAGACGCCTATTAGAAAAAATATCAGAATACAATTATACTTTCTCCAACACGGACCCTTGCTTAACATTTCGACCATCGAAGCAATAATATAAATCTATTAGCTAAAGGTCCAGACAAGCAAACTTTCACATTTTACTCTACAGTAGGACAGTAGGACCGGTATCAGCAGGTCTAATGTTTACAGTGTCTTTAGCCAACCGCCACTTTAGCGCTTGTCTACAGAGAGAGTAGAAAACTAAATGTATGGGAAAAATTTACGTCAATTCCATATAATTTGGTTTTCTATTCTACATGCAGACAAGCGCTAAATGGCATTGACACTGACATTCGATAAATTATGTCAATACTTATGTCAACTCCGTACATTGATTTTACTCTTCAGAATATTCGGTTAAGCTTTGTGTCATTCATACAGGGTGCATACACGCTTCCGAAAATGCAAAAGTTTTTTTTTTATAATCTTAATCTTTTTTGTTTTCGTATTATTCATGCAGCATCAGGCTTGAGCAGTTGATTACAACTGTTATTACATGAAATGAACATATAATTCCTTACTTTTTTAAAAATAAAACTCGTTTTTGATCATGAATTACTGTCCCGCCTAACATTCGGGACGCTGAGTCTATCGCTATCTTTAAAAGACGAGTGAGAGAACACTACCTTTCCTCCTGATATGTAAATTTCTTTATTTAGATGTATTGTTTATGTATTGTATGTATTTATTTATAGGTACATTGTATGTATTTGTTATAGGTGCATTATATTTATAATTTTTCTTTATCTGTTTAGTTTTAAGTCTGTTTTCTATGTCAATTTTCTATTTGTTATTACACGCTGTGTCATTCATTATAAATCATTATTACTATTCCTGCCCCAGGTTTACAGGAAGAAATTCCAATAGGATTAGGTGGTACCATTGTACATTAATTTTAAGTATATATGTGTTGTCTTTTATGCTGTATGTGTGTACATAAATAATAAATAAATAAATAAAAATCATCGTTTTTTGGTAGAGTCTCATCTACACCCTGTATCGAAAATCTTGCGAGAAAAAGCAAAAAAATCAAAGACGTTTTTTCTAGCATAAAGTAGGTACAAGCTTATATGTAGATTAAAATAATAATTTTGTTCTGCCATTTTTAATTTAATGAAAGTTGTATACTAATATTATTTCAAAAATAATAATATTGTAATACTGTGCGTATAAGCTAGGTGATTGGCTGCGATCACGATGTCACGAGTTCTGGGGTTCGATGTCCGCACAGAATAAATTATTTTTAATGTCAACAGTAATAATAATAATATATCAAGTATTTAAATTCATTAGAATCAGGGTCACGGTATATACCTTTATATGATATGTTTTTTCCTTATTGGCACGCATTTGAAAAATATTTCAAAAATATAGGCACGTCATGGTATTGCCAAAATTTTGTTTTTTGTAAACAAAATGTTTGTTTACATGTCTTAATTAAATTAACTCGTCGAGTACCGGTTTTATAGACACAATTAAAGAACAATAGGTCGCGGTCACCGGTGACCGCTTGGTGTTTGACAGTTTAATGCCCAAGGTTCGAGGAAAAGTTCTGTATATAGTAAGTCGCGTGCAGAAATTAGCATAAAAACATTTAGTGGTTTAGAAATCGAATGGGCAAATATGTCATAGCTTTAAACACATCATTATCAACAGCCACGTATAAGTAGTCACTTCTGACCAAAGGCCTCTTCTCACACGGAAAAGGTTTGAGCATTATTCACTGCGCTTATTCAATGTGGATTGGCGATTTCAAACTTATAATTAGAAATTATAAGCTTAGGTTTCCTCACAATATTTCCTTCATCGTTTGTCAGGTTGCGTCTATACCTTAATCATAGAAAGTACATATAACGCGGAAAAAGTCACTTTGTTACTTGCCGTTGGTAGGTTTGGAACCCGTAACCTTATGAATGAGAAGCGTCTTAAACCTCTGTGCCACAACGACATACAACTTGAAACACTTATTTAAATATTCATAGTATAATATATATTAGTAGAATTATCCCTTTTCTCAGCTAACAAGAACTTCTTTTCTTTTCAGTTCTTAACATTCCTGTTATAAAAAATTGAATACAATACAGTAACCTGCATTGCACACACTTAATAATATAGTAAAAAATAAAAATACTGCCTCATTGGCCGAGTGGTCGCAAGACTGCCGGGCCTGGGGTCTCGGGTTCGATTCCCGGGTCGGGCAAAGTATTACAAAAAATTTACAGTAGTAGCATGGAGTCTGGAAATGTGCCCGGTATATGGCTCACCCCTTATTACATGGGACTCATAACATAAATAGTGAAAAGTGGGTGTTACATTACATTATGTACACCTCTGCCTACCCCTTCGGGGATAAAAGGCGTGATGTCATAATATATATAATATAATAAAAATACCTAATAATAATAGGCAATAATAGATACACATTGACTTTTTCTCTTGGGTTTAATAAATTGGTCACATGCCGCGAATATCTCGAGAACCGCAGCTTAATTAATGTCAAGAGTGAGGTCCTCGTCACGAGTTGAATGTTGACGATATTATGATAATTAGTAGACCAATATTTCGAATAATTTAGCATAATAAATATCATAGATACAACATTCCCAAACCACACCTTCTAACGTCGGGAAAACCCTACCGTTGTTATTCAGGAAAATAGATAAAATATGTTTTAACCGACTTCAAAAGTAGGAGGTTCTCAGTTTGTATGTATGTATGTTTGTGTAATATTATCTCTCGATTGGTTGAACTGATTTTGAAGCATATATAGATAAATATTTGTTACACCCTCGAGAAGGGTTTAGTATATTAATAAACGGATTTTAAAAAGAGGTAGTTTATGTCGGTTTTTTTAAATATTAGTCTAGTGTGTCAACATTTTTTGGTATTTTGATAATGAGTTTGATTAGCCTTTACCTTGCCATTTCACCGATTTCGTCTTATGTAACGATGACATGTTTTTTTTTTGATGTGTATTTAATAAACTAGTTACATTTTGCCTATTGCACAATAGTCTCACCCCTTATTATATGGGACTCATAACATAACAGTGAAAAGTGGGTGTTAAATTGTGGCCCTGGCCCCAAATGGCGTAATGTGCACCTCAGTCTACCCTTTCGGGGATAAAACGCTATGTTATATCGTCTATTATTTACAGTCGTAGTTAGGTCGGATTGGCATTTTTAGGAATATTTACGATTAGTGTACGCTTACATAATTTAAATAACGAAACTATTTTGGATGAAATTTAAGACAGATACATCTTATAGATATTGGCTAATAGTTTTAACTAAGCATTGTTATTAGCATATAGCATTGTTATTGAAGGACCCAAAATGGGTGTTACTATAAGCAAGCATATAAAGCTAATCAACTAAGACACCGAACCATGAAAAGAGATATAACATCTTTCTTGTGTAGTTAATTCATTAGTAAAAAAAAGTAGCTTGTAAAAACATTCACAAGTCTAAGTTCATTGACCTTTGGAATGTGTGTTAATCTTACTTCATCTGTCAATGTTACAAATTAATCTAAATATTTTTAATGTTAATGGCCATATAGTGACTAATTGTGTGACTAAGTAAATGCATGGACATAGATATTTTTTTTAAATCTTTATCGCTAAATTTTATAGGACTGAGTACGGTAGGAACCTACCAAACTCATTAATTACATAACACAGGATATGAACACCCATTAAACTCATTAAGGACGGTAGCAAACATTATCTACACCAATTTAAAGCTCCGTGGTAGTCGGAAGGTGAGGTAACTTCACCTGTGCGCGTCGTTTTTCCGGATTGCGAGAAATAAAGGTACTTACAACATGAGATACTTACAAACAGATCAATACTAAATACTACTTGCATGGTGATAGTTTTCTTATTTTCGGGATTTTTTAAAAGATCGCGAACCGGTGAACTTCCCCTATTACGTAATTTGCGTAGTCGGGTAATAATACCTAAAAAGTTATTAGATGACTTCTCACCAGGCGAGCTCGTCTAGTATTAAATCACTTTTTTATTTAATTTTGTAGGTATTTGAAGGTATTAGACTTGTCTGGAAAAAAAAATCAATAGAATAGAATCAGGTTTTTAAACTTAGTAAATTCTTTTGAGCTGCATAAAATCTGCTAGATGCTATAATCGTTAATCTATAAATTGTATTATTGATGATGGAATTATACATCGATTTATAAAAAAGCTTTCAAAATCTAGATTTTGTAGAAAAACCCACAATAGGTTCCTAGATTAATAAATATTGTAGAGTAAAATCTAAACACATTTTTTAAGCGATAAGTCGGTAACCGAATTTACGGATCACCTGATGGCAAGCAATGGGCGCCGTCGTGAACATCCGAAACATCAGAGGCGTTACAAATGCGTTGCTGTCCTATTGGGGATTAGGAATTTGAGGATTGTTGGGTATTCGGGGATTAAGAAGATTCGGGAGGGGAGTAATTTGGCCTCCTTACTCATTTGGTAACCTTACTCACACGACGAAACACAAATCGCAATCGTTGTTTCACGTCGATTTTCTGTAAGGCCGTGATATCACACTCGAGCTGGACCATTCGTGCGAAGCATGACTCTCCCGAAATTGACATAATTGAGATTAGATATTCAGTCAGTGGACGTCTAGTGGTTGCTATGAGGATGATTCAACCACCAACAGACTGTGACCCTGCTAGACCATGGGTGTCCTATCCTTAAGACAGTTTGTCATAATAGTTTTTGCTTGGCGAGGAGGTTCTCATTGGTATGTTTATTTTACTTCCAGGAAATGGCCGCTACAACTTCCTCGTGCTGTTCACCTGCTGCATTATCATGCTGGGCGCAGTCGTGGACATGCTGGGCTATAGCCTGGTGGTGCCTGCAGCCAGCTGCGACTTAGACCTAAGCTTAGAACACAGCGGCATGTTGACCTCAGTTTCTTTTGCTGGTATGAATATGATCCTCTCTTTCTCCCTACATTTTTCAAATGATCTCTAAACTAAGAATATATCAGTATAGTCTTCAGTGTTCAGTATACCTATTTATATGTTGACTCCATGACACAACCACGAGACATATCAAACATCATCTTCATCATCTTGATCATCACCGTCATCATAGTCATCAGCCAGAAGACGTCCAAAGCTGAATATAGACCCTTCTCAATCACTTCCAGATCAGGTGGTTGGAAATGTGCGATCCTAATTCTCATCATCATCATCGGCCTGTATTCGTCCACTGCTGGACATAAGCCTCTCCAATTGCACGCCACTGAGCTCGGTTTTCAGCTCTTCTCATCCAACCTCTGCCAGCCACCTTGCAGATGTCGTCACTCCACCTAGCTGAAGGGCGCCCTACACTGCATTTGACTAGACGCGGACTCTAGTCTACTCTGTCGGATCACTTCGTTTCGGGTTCGATCCTTTAAAGAGACTCCGAGCATAGCCCTCTCCATAGCTCGCTGCGCGACCTTAAATTGGTGGACCAGTCGCACTTTCAGCGTCCACGTCTCGGCTCCGTATGTCATTACTGGAAGGACGCACTCGTTGAAGACTTTTGTCTTCAGGCTCTGCGGTATTCTCATCAGAAATAAAATTAATTATGAAAGATAAACAAGTTAATATTCTACTAGACCCAGAAACCTCGTGTCTCCAATCAATATACAAAAAGACAGATTACAATAATCACCGTGTACAAAAACACTGTATTTACTATACACTAAAAATTATCGTTAGTACAGTTGTGATGACTGGGCCATTGTTGCGTAGTGGAAACCATTCACTACTGTAGAAAATTTCCTATAGGCCATACGCTGGTGACGCACGTTTGAGATCATTGAACATTGGCATGTGGTGTTTGTACCACGTGATATTCTTGTGGTACAAATTGTTTTGTTTTTAAGTAAAATAGTTTTAAGAAGATATATCATCCTTAGTCCTTAGTAGTATTATAAATGGGAAAGTGAGTTTGTTTGTTCTGCTTTCACGCCGTATCTTCTATACCGATTGCTTTGAATTTTTGTAGACGTAAATTTAGAAGTCTGGATTAAATAATAGGGTACTTTTTATCCCGGAAAATTTTGATATTCCCAAGGGAAAACAAAAGAATTGGTATAGATGGCGATGTGTGTATTGGTATATGTCACATAGGCTACTTTTATCCTTTTGTGACCATGATCGATGCCACTTGATTTAGAATGTTCTTAAACTATTTTCACACGGGAACGAATTAAGAATTTTCTTTTCATTCCAGGATTCATATTTGCGCTACCATGGGGCTACACAGCTGATACTAGAGGAAGAAAGAAAGCGCTTCTAATCTCCTCATCAGTAGGGTTCATTCTCTCCAGCCTCACGAGCTTCTCCACCGACTTCTACATGATGCTGGTACTCAAGTTCCTGGCTTCTAGTTTGTAAGTGTTTAAGTTTTGTTTCATCAGACATTTCGCTTTTTTCCCCATATCTTCGTCAGCAGTACTCACACCATCATTAATATTTTATAGTTCATTAAACCTTCTTTAAAAATCTATTCACTGTCTTTTTGAGTTTATTATGGTCATGGAGGCAACAGGAGACTTTGATTTTGGAGTATGTGAGGAAATCAAAATCAGAGCTTTTATCGCCACCAGATCTAATACAAGAACCAGTTTATTATCTGTCAGAATGTTAATCTGTTTGTCCTTTAGTGGACCTATTCCGTCATATTTTTCACGTGACAACTCCAATACTAAGAAACAAGCAAAAAGCTGCATAGTTACTCTTTTTCAATCAGTCTACGTCATCGATGTTTTTCTCTAATCGAACCGGTTCCATTTTACTATACCAGTGAGGTTGGTTCGTCACCGGCGTTTGAATTCTCGAGACAGGTTTAAGCTAGCTGGTGGCGATGGCGCCGGCATTAGTCGGTTTCGCTAAAACGCGTAGCAACATAACATAGATGCATATTAAAATGTACCATATTTTTTGCCAGATAGGTATCTTAATTTCATGTCGTAAATAATGAGCTCATACCATAAACTGAGTAAAGTGCCATCTTGTGATTATATTTATTATCCCATGCCATATCCTATAGCCATCAGACCACCACAAACGAGCCCTAATAGGGCTGATGCCGATCTGGAGCCCCGGAGGACTTAACGGGTTGCCAGGGCTTCGGCTTGAAGTGCAGGAGTGGTTTTTAGGCAGTAAGAGTCTGACACTCCCTCTTTTCTCACCCGGGCGGGAGAAGTAATTGAATTATTTTTTCCCAAAAAAAATACCATGTTTCTTGGTAAATTTAGTACGTATGTTTTTAACATTCGACTAACGAGTGTAGTGGAAAATTTCTACGTAAGATACTATAGTTATATATACTAGCTTTAAAAAAATCATTACTTAATATAACTGACCTTATACAACTAACTAGAACAAAACTTATGAGCCTATTAGGTACAATCGTTTAAGTATTCGTTCATTTTATGCCTACATACGTTTACTATTGTATTTTTCTTGCCACAGATATAATATATGTAAATTGTAAAAATAAAAGTCATTAAAATTTATCATTGGAATTTACGAAACCTTCCTACATTCAATTTAACCATTTATTGTTATGTAAAACCATTTTAAAACGTGAATAAACAGAAATCGGAAAAATACACCATAGTAGTAATGACATGGATTGAGGTTCGGCTCATTGTTAAAGTTGTACAATAACAAGTAATACATAAAAAAATAAGTTAAACTGTTTAAGTGAGCTCTATTCCATCAATTAAGCCTTTTTGTTTTATATTCATAATGGAGGTGGTTGTAAAAAAAGTTTTTTTTTTTTTACATTGCCCCACTGTAGGATTTCCTCCTGTATCGTGGGTGCGTTCACAGACATACAAGTTCACATACACATAACACCCAGACCCGAAACAACAATTTGTGGATCACACAAAGAGATGTTTCAATGAGATGTTTTGCAAATAAATGATTTTGATTTTGATCTTTGATTTTCCGTGCGGGATTCGAACCCGTGACACATTGAATGGTCATTGCCTCGCTGGCCGAGTGGTGGCAAGGGATCTCGGGCTCAATTCCCGGATCAGACAAAGTATTACTGGGTTTTGGTAACACCACAGTTTCTCTGTCCACAAAAACTCTAATCATATCACATTAACACATCAACAGCTCAACTTATAAGCTGTTGATGTGTTGATGGCCACTGCTGAACAAAGGCCTCTTCTCCCATGGATAAGGTTTTAGCATGAATCACCACGTTTGCACAATGCGGGGTGGCAATTTCAAACTTATAATTATAATTTATAAGTCCAGGTTTCCTCACAATGTTTTCCTTCACCGTTTGTCAGAAAATAATTTTAGAACGAACATATAACTAGGAAAAAGTCACCTTGCTACTTGCTGTTGATAGGTTTTCAACCTGCACTCTCATGCATGAGTAGCGGGCTTCTTAAACCTCCGGGCCACCATGACATAAATACTGTAATACTGTTATTTAATTTCAGTTCAACAGCATCTATAACCCTAACAATCACATTCCTCGGGGAGTGCACACCAAAGGAATGGAGGAACAGATACATGTTCATACAGAATGTGTTCAGTCTTGCAGCTGACTTTGTCTGCTTTGGTGAGAGGAATTTATTGATCTTTAGAAATTGGTGTTATAAAGAATGTAGGGGTGGAATGTGGAAACTAGAACATAGTTAGGAGCTTGTTATCAAGGGTTAGATAGTAAGTATCAGTGTCAAGTTGCAATAACCTTGACGCTCGATTTTCATTGAGGTGTAACTAATTAAACCAATTCAAAAGGAAAGCACATTACACTTAAAAGCATTGCATCAGAGTTTTTTTTCGCATAAGTCGGTAAACGACCGGACGGATCACCTGATGGTAAGCAATCGGCGTCGCCCATGGACACCCGGAACACCAGAGGCGTTACAAGTGCGTTACCGGCCTTTTGGGGATTAGGAGTTTGAGGATCGTTGGGGATTCAGGGATTGAGGAGATTGGGGTAGGAGAGGGTAATTGGGCCTCCGGTAACCAAACTCACACGACGTAACACAACGCAAGCGTTGCTTCACGTCGGTTTTCTGAGTCCGTGGTATCACTCCGGTCGAGTCGGCCCATTCGTGGCGAAGCATGGCTCTCCCACACTTGAAAGTCTTAGTAGCTAACAGGAGTTTAGACAAAAATGTTACCAAAATTCTGCTGTGTAGCAAATGTGAAAGAACAAAATACTAAGTATACTTTTCTTTTCATTTCAGCTCTCGCGTACTTCGTCTTACCTCTAGAATTCAGTGTTCCTCTGCCACTGCTGACTACCTACAGACCTTGGCGGCTTCTCATACTGCTGATGACAGTTCCTTTAGGAATAGGTTCAGTCATGATGTGCTTCCTCCACGAAAGTCCCAAGTTCTTGGCCAACTTGGGAGAAACTGACAATGCACTAGAAGTACTGAAGTCTATTCACAAAACTAATAATGGAAAACATAGTGTGTATCCTGTAAGTACTTGGATTTTATGATGTTTTTTGCAAAAATTATAATTTCAATGAGAATTATCATTGAAGTTAAGCTGGAACCTCATTCTCGTGAAGATACAGAACTTATATAAAGACTCTCAACTTTTGTACAAGGCCTAGACTTGATGAAGGAATCAGAAGTAAACTACATTGAAACAACAACTACATTGAATCATTTTTCTATTTCCAGGTAAAGTCTTTAATGAAGGTGGACAAACCAGACGGGACAATATCGTTCTGGAGATCAGTGATCAAGCAGACGGTACCTATAATAAAACCACCACTACTCTGGAGGTCCTTGCAACTGTTGCTACTGTTCGCCATCTGTTGCAGCACGTGAGTAATAATTCCTTACTAATTTATGACAAAGAAGAGATGTGTTTGAAGAGGTGAAAAAAGAACATAAGAGAATAGAAGACGAAGATGAGATAGAGAATTATCATGATTGTAAATAAAATAATCTGAATTTGACAGAATTGATTTAAAAGAAATAGGAAACTGATATAAATATAAAATTTTGTTGGATAATCATGGTTAATTTACAGACCAAAGGCTAAATGAAATTAAATAAAATTGTGCATAGACCAAAGTCTTCGATAAACTTTTTCTATCCGAATTAATACAAGATAAATTGACCGATGAAGCTATTTCAAACGTGATTAAAATGACAGACAATATCTATTTTGCCTTAAATGCTAACAATACAGAAATATTAAACAAGAAATGATACTCAAAAATAATGATGATTAAAGATAGCACTTGAATATTTTACCTTGAGGACAATTTCATCTTTCTTAATTTTGTATCCATTCCAAGATTTATGAGACGAATAATGGACAAGGACCAAAATATAAATGTAAACAGTTGGGTTATGATATTACTTTTAAACCTTACATGATGAGATTGGGCTATGTATAAAATATAGCAGAATTGTTATCGCTGCGTCTTATTCGAATAAAACTTACCACCAATTTTGCGCAGTCGCGGCGACGTCGTGCACGCCGCTCATGAGGAAGAGTCCCTCTGTGACACGAAACTAGTAGAGCTTTTCTCAGTATATTTACGTTCGTAACTCGTATTTTTTAGTCAATTTGATATGTCTCACGATAGTTATATTTTAAAAACGATAATCCATTTTAATTCTTTTCATTCATAACATCTTCCAAAATATGCTTCTGTATTTCTTATAAAATATGCACACAGTCAAGTAATATCATCATGACCTATATAAATACTTATCTTCTTGTCTGTATATATATGAGACACAACAGAAAGCACATCATGTTTCGCGTGGATCTGTGATCGTTACAGGCAAGAAGTTAATGTTGTACAAGGATTTATTTTTATATGTTAACAAAAAGCCAATCACCTAAGCAAGTCACACAAAAAAAAATCTCAAATAATTATACTGAACAATATTACCCAGTCCCAAAAATAATTTTACATTCAAAATCACTAACAGGTTTGGCAATTTGACATTTCAATCACTGTGACCCTTAAAGCCGACGACTCAAAATCCACTCAAAATAAATGCCATTTGATCCCGTAAACATTTATTCCACCTTTTAGCATAATATCGATACAATTTTAGAGGCAAAAGTGCTCTCTGTACGTTGTTTAAATAATAAACAATACAAAATTGATTCGAAATTAGGTAGAAGCGATACAGAGGAATTTTAACACTGCGTTAGAATTTGCCGATTTTTTTAAACACATTCTTTTTTTATGGCATAAGCCGGTAAACGAGCAGACGGATCACCTGATGGTAAGCAATCGGCATCGCCCATGGACACCTGGAACACCAGAGGCGTTACAAGTGCGTTACCGGCCTTTTGGGGATTAGGAGTTTGAGGATCGTTGGGGATTTAGGTATTGGGGAGATTGGGGAAGGGGAGGGTTATTGGGCCTCCGGTAACTTAACTCACACGACGACGAAACTAAGCGTAAGCGTTGCTTTAGTTGCGTCGGTTTTCTGTGAGGCCGAGGTATCACTCAGGTCGAGCCGGCCCATTCGTGCCGAAGCATGGCTCTCCTACACTTCTTTTTTTTGTTCTATTTTTCATTTGTACATGTTGTAGTCGAGTATAAGTTGGTATAAATAAGCTTACAGCGTTATGTGCTATCTTAATATACTTATAGTGTATGAAATTGTAAAAAACTAATCTAAAAGATCAAAACAGACCCATGTTGCACTGTTGGTGCGGTAGCCGGGTAGCAACCGAAGCAACTCTTTGTGTGATCCACAAATTGTTGTTCCGGGTCTGGGTGTCATGTGTATATTAACTTGTATGTTTGTAAACGCACCTACGATACAGGAGAACATCCTAGTGTTTTTTTTTTTAAAAGAGTATAGGTTGCAGGATTTTAAACATATATTACAATCAATAACGAGGGAAGACACATAATTATAATTGTGTAATTATGAAATTCACACTCATTGAAGTCAATAAGTCATTTAAAATCAGGATATGGGTGTTCAACTTGTCTATAGACTCGTTTGACTAACGTATAAATGCCATTTGTCCAGAGGGCAATACCTACATATTAATAATTTTTGCAAACAATATTTTGATGAATAGTAAAAATATTATAATAACCAGTTTTTCTTTATATTTTCCGGCCATTATAGAATGAGGAAGTAAAACAAGATTTAAGATGTAAATTAATTATGAGTCCGTGTATTTATTTAATCAATAGTCACTTAGCTTGTACAAATGTCGGAACAACATTGGATGGATATTTAATACGTTTTTTATCTTTAATAGAATTTGTTTATCAATCGATGACTAACGTTATATATTAAGGGCTAAGTTCAAAAGTCCAACAGCTTACAATTCATTAAAATGTTACCTAATGTTTATTGCGTTCTAATAGAGGAAGTACGGATCAATTAATAGATTTTTAACCGACTTCTTTCATTGTGGTTGTCAGTTTATTATGATTACCTATATGTGTGTATGTATGTTTGTGTGTGATTGTCTCGGGGTTAGATGAACCGATATTGATACAATTTAAAAAAATGTTAATATGAATACTATAAAACACTTAAGAGATAAGACTCTTTGTATATTAATTAACCAACTTGAAAAAAGAGGAGGTTGAAAAATATACATTAAGTTTTGAAATAAAAAAAGACAAGATTAAATCGGAATAACATGTTTAATCGCTTGAATACCCGTATATAAAACACAATAGAAACTTTGACTGCCTCGTTGGCCGACTGGTCACAAGTGCGACTGCCGGGCAAGGGGTCTCGGGTTCGATTCTCGGGTCGGGCAAAGTATTACTGGGTTTGTAAAAAAATCTCAGTATTAGCACGGAGTCTGGAAATGTGCCCGGTATATGGCAATAGGCTCACCCCCTATTACATGGGACTCAATATAAATAGTGAAAAGTGGGTGTTACCTCTGACTAACCCTTCAGGGATAAAAGGCGTGATGTTATGTTATGTTATGTTAATAGAAACTACATTGTTTCTCGCGTGGGTCCACGTTTAGACCCACTATGGGCTAATACAAACCTATTATTATTCGAAATTTTTATTGATCCTTTGCTAATATTCTGTTTCCTTTATTTCAGAAATAACGTATTCTTCATGTGGTTCCCTACGATGGTGAACTCATTCTTCACAACTGTATCTGAAGATTCACGTTTCTGTGAAAAAGTCGTCGCAAATATTACACCTAGTTCATATAATGTGAGTTTAATCCGAAAGAAAAACACGTTTTATGATATGCTAAAGTGCTATAAGAGATCTTATGTTATGCTTACATGACTTGTTTTTCCTTTGGCAAGATAAACTAAAAAGAAGTAACAGAAAAAACTCTCAAGTACAATTGTTTCATCACGATAGTCATTAAAATATTTACCTTATTCTCCAAAGTAAAAAGTTCGAATTTGTCTACCACTTATCCAAACCGCAACCAAATTATTAAGTCAATATTATCTATTGTCTCAACCAAATGCATATTTGCATTGACCTTGAACTATTCTCTATGAATTTCCAGGAAACCTGCATAGACGCTGACCCCATCAACACCATCTACTCAGGGTTACTGTTCACTCTTTTCTTCACAAGTTTCAACATGATCATCATCGCCCTCTCCAACTGGAGACGGACCCTGATGATCAGTACCTTCATCATCTCTGGAGTCAGCTGTATTCTGGTTGACATGGTGCGACAACCGGCTGCCAGCATGGTGTTCTTCATTGCCATTCAATTTACTGGCATATGTATTGGCACCGTGGGTTCATATTACGTTGATATCTTTCCTACTTCTTATAGGTAAGTGTTTAAGAATTTTACATTTGTTTTAGTACTAATCTAGTTCTTAAAATTGTATTACTGTTCTTGCATTAACAGCCGGTTTATGTTCTAGTCTAAGTTATGTTTTTAATCTTAGAGAATACAGATGTGATAAATCCGTCTTATGAGTCCATTAGCTACTGTTTACTTGAAAAACATTTTTGATTCCCTCAAATTACTTAGGTCAATGATCCCATTACTTTTGATGAGACTCTAGAATAGCTTCATAAAGAATATTAAGAAGGAATGGTGCATTGTTTTGAAAGCCGTAGCCACGATCCTAAAATTCCAAATAACTTGCAAGTCACGTAGCGAACAAAATTACTAATTATAGATTCAAAATAAATGTCCAAAGTAAAACTATTTCATTGTAAATTTATCATCGGCCATAAGTCGTGACGTCAGCTTTGGGATAACTTTAAAACCAAGATAAGAGCCACTTGGTAAGATGCCAACTTATCAAAATAACTTAAAATAGAACTTGTACAATTTTTACTACTTTTATCAAATTTTTCGCGAGTGGTTTGGTAAAGCTATCTTATCTTTGCTAGGCTAGTGCTTGGCTGGTCTTGAGAATGACCTATGATCCTTCATTAAGCCAACATGCTGCATAAAACACATTTTGAAATAATCTCTTTAGAAACTGTACCGTGGCATTTGCTGTAGTTAAATGCACTTTTTTCTTTCCGTGCTCTTTATCACAATGACCTATACATTCCTTTAGATTTTATGTAATTAACCGGTTTAGTATATCATGTTTTTCTTCAAGAGAAGTTCATTTACTAGCAATCTCTGATCGTCAACCTCACTACCAATCTGCAATTGTCTGAAGTTATTCGTAGTATTTTTTAACTAAAAATCACTCAACGAGCAGATGGATCGCATTATGGTAAGCAATTGGCGACGCCCGTGTAATTCCGAAACATCAATAGTGTTACAAATGTTTTTTTTGGGATTATGAATTTAAAGATTGTTGGGAATTAGGGAGATGGGGGAGGGGGCTTATGTAATTGGGCCTTTGGTAACCTCACACACACGACGAAACACAGTGCAAATATTGTTTCACTTTGGATTTCTGAGAGGCGATGGTATCACAGCGGTATTCCACTCACTCACTTATTAACCTTATGTATTATTGTTGGTCTTCATCATTCATGTTCTGCTCTCCACCACCAGGGGTCTAGCGACCAGTCTCGGCATGATGTTCGCCAGGTTCGTGTGTCTCGGTGGCGTCAATGTAGTTGGAGCCACTATCGTCGACTACTGTCGGATCACCTTCTACGGGTGGTCTATATTTGTGTTCAGTAAGTATTTAATTAACTTAACACATATAAAAATATGATTATTGCTCTAACCTTCTCCATGTGAGAAGTGGCTTTGCTCAGCATGGGCATTTATAAGCTGTTGATGATATAACAATAATTAGCCATAAAGACTGCCTCGTTGGCCGAGTGGTCGCAAATGTGACTGCCGGGCAAGGGGTCTTGGGTTCGATTCCCGGGTCGGGCAAAGTATTACTGGGTTTTTAAAAATTCTCAGTAATAGCACGGACTCTGGAATTGTGCCCGGTATATGGCAATAGGCTCACCCCCTATTACATAGGACTCATAACATAAATAGTGAAAAGTGGGTGTTACATTGTAAAGTACAGTGGTATATGTGCACCTCTGCTTTCCCCTTCGGGGATAAAAGGCGTGATGCTATGTTATGATGTGATGCTATGTAGCAAAATGTCATGGACTAGGTCTAGTTTCTAATTGTATTTGAAACAGAATAATTCCTTGTAAACGAGTAAAAAAAGATATATTTAAGACTTTAGAATAAATTGATTACGAATTCGTTTGTCGCATTAACTATATGGCACTAAAATGTTTTCAATAGAACAACAATAAAATCTCTTTACTAAATTGCTTCTTGAAGAAGTCAAACTTTGATTTCTTTCTTTTAATTCCAGGTGGAATAATAGCAGCATTTTACCTACCAGGAGAGCCGAAAGCAGATTCTATAACGAGGGTAGACAAAGTAATATAGTGCTAAGATAAGAGACTTTTATATACATACATAATATTAAATACTGTGAATACCTTCAAAATAGTTTCCTTTTAAACTGTCAAACACCGCGAGGACACCGGTGACCGCAACCTAGTGTTCTTTAATTGTGTCTATAATGACGGTACTCAAAGCGTTAAACCTAGTTTACTATGAAGTGTAAATATTATATCCATAAGAATCTAGCTCGTATTCATTTACAAATTTGATTCCATTTCGGTATTAAAATTAATGTTTACTTAAAATTTTTTATGGGCCTTAATAGACAGAGAATGATAAAACTATGCTCATTGTTCAACTGCTATCTTTTAGTGATTTTACTCGTTTCCTCCAATTGCATACATTACCTGTGTGCTTACTCTTGAAACCAATCTCAATGTCGATTTACTTTCAATCCAATAAAACCTCAATAATTAATAAATGACAAAACTATACAACCCTAATCGTTAAGACTTTGGATCGGGCTCAACAGGCCTGATGCCGATTCGGGGTCACGGAGAACCTAACGGGTTACCAGGGCTCCGACTCGAAGCGCAGGAGAAAGAATGGGGTGGTTTTGAGTCAGTAAGAGGCTGACACTCACTCCCGGCTCACCCAGGCGGCAGTAGTCATTCGATGATTTTCACCCATTAAAAAGAAATCGTAGCTTTTAAAATAGCATTCAGAGTACGGAATAGTATAAAGCTAAACTCAATACCATTTAGTTCATTCAATATCCACGCAGTACGGATGCAATGGGCGCTACTGTTACAACTCAAAGACTACGAACACAATATTAAATGTCGATCGATCGGAATTGGATTCAAGAGTTAGCTTGATTTGAAACTACGAATATCAGATAACATTCGATAAGAAAATTAACCCTATTTAATCCTCTTTGCTAAGTTCATCCTTCACTAGCTAACGACTTCGTCCACGTAGTTAATACATTTTAGAAAATAACTTTTATTGTTTAAATTTTCCAAAATTAAAGTAGCCTATGTTACTCCTTAGTACGTCATCTACTTGCCAATAAAAATCTTGCAAAATTAGTCCAGCCATTCCATAGTTTAGCCAGTACAAAACAGACAAACAAACAACAATTGTAAAAATGTTATACTAGTATGTGTATCATACGTTTATTCGTATTACGTAAATAGTAAAAAGCGGATATTTTATACTATTACAAACAGACACTTCAATTTTATTTATCTATATAATAACCTACATAGTAAATAGGTCATGTAACAATGGTTATGTCTACTCTCCTCTACTTGACCACCCTTTTACAGGCCGTCAAATTTTAATATCCCTCGCAAAAATGTTCCGAGAGCGCTTATCTCGCCATAATGGTACAAACTTGGGTAAGATATTGAAATTAGGTTACAGTTCGGAGTATTTTGGGTGGATAAAGATAGTGTTTTTCAAATAATATTTAGTTTGATACACATAATATTACTCACTGATTAACACGGGCAAAGGGTCTCGGGTGCAATCCGGTTCAGGCAAAGTATTCTTAGGTTTTTAAAAAAAATCACAGTAGTAGCACAGAGTCTGGATTTGTGCCCGGTATATGGCAATAGAAAAGTGGGTGATACATTGTACAGTGGCATTAGGTGCCTTAATGTGCACCTCTGTCAACCCCTTCGGGTTTAAAAGGCGTGATGTTAAGTTTAAGTGGTTAACACTTGCGATTTGCCAGTTATGTCTCATACAATGAGAAATCACAAAAATCTTCAAACTAAAATATACTGTTATTGGCCATCAAACCTAAGAAATTTTGCGTGACAGTCGCATTTGCCATCATTTAATTTATAAACAAGCCATGCTCGATATTTATAGTATTATTTATGGGATAAGCAGGTAAACGAGCAGACGAATCACCTTATGGTGAGCAATCGGCATCGCCCATAGACACCTGGAACACCAGAGGCGTTACAAGTGCGTTACCGGTCTTTGGGGATTAGGAATTTGAGGATTGATGGGGATTCAACGATTGGGGTGGTTGGGGGAGGGGGTAATTGGGCCTCTGGTAACCTTACTCACACCACGATACACAATACAAGCGCTGTTTCACGTCGGCTTCCTGTGAGGTCGTGGTATCACTCCGATCGAGCCTATCCGTGCGAAAGCATGGCTCTCCCACACTTAAAGTCTTCACAAAGTTACATATTTCTCACATACATTTCCTTTGTATAACATTTTAACCTTAAACCTTTATTACGTCAGATAATCCACAATATATCAGTATAAAGTTAGCCATAAATTATAAAGTACAATCCACCACAAAAGTTATGACGTTGCGGTGAACCGTATCACTATTATGTCTTTGTTTGAAACTGATGTTACCTGCGCACTCAAAACTTTAATGGAGGGTTGTAGCTAGATTTTATTGCTCAACCATTAGTTTTAGGTTTCATGTGGAATACAGGCCTTTTAAAGAAATAGGCACTAAAAATCCTAACTTAGTTCATTACTACGAACCTAAGTGTTTTCTTTACTTTTTATAATACACTTTTAGTGCCTAAGAAGTACAAAGCCAATTTCAATGATGTTTCCTATTTATATACCAAGACAGATATAACTTTTAACGTTGATTAAATATGCTTTAAGAAAGTTAATTGCTTGTATTTTTAGGAAATAGTAGATAGAATGTCCTTTTAACTCGTCGAGTACCGTATTTATAGACACAATTAAAGAACAATAGGTTGCGGTCACCGGTGACCGCTTGGTGTTTGACAGTTTAAACGGACAAAAGTTTAGAGACGACGACGGCGACTGCGTCCGTTTGATAACCTACTTATAACTATAGTAGGTGTTGTGTAAAAGACTAATAAGTATCAACATCAACAGCCTATAAGTGGCCATTACTGACCAATGGCCACTTATACACGGACAAGGTTTGAGCATTAATCGCCACACTTGCTCAAGGCAATTTCGAACTTATAAATTAGAAATTAAAATCTTTTGTTTCCTCACGATATTTTCCTTCATCGTTTGTCAGTGGTATCTAAATAATCTCAGAAAGTACATATAACTCGGAAAAAGTCACATTGGTACTTGCCGTTGGTAGGTTTCGAACTCGCACCCTCAATCTAACGGGTTACCGGTGCTCCGGCTCGACGTGCAGGAGTAGGAACGGGGTGGTTTTTAGTCAGTAAGGGTCTGACACTCCCTCCCGCCTCACCCATGTGAGATAAGATGATTTTTCCGCCTTAAAAAAAATGCATGAGAAGCGTCTTGAATCTCCGAGCCACTACGACTCTTACAAATAAACATACGTCAATATCATTAGGAAAAGTAATATTAAACATAAATCTAACACACGATTAATCACGCTTCACTTTCTACAAGCTTTGAGCTAGAAACTCCTAGCACTCTGCAAGTATATAGAAGTATAGAAATATAGACGCTACAGTGAAATATCTGTTTGCAGCTTTCCTTTACAAAAGCACATAGAATCGGAATAAATATGAAGTCGTAGGATGTTAACCGAGATATATTCTGATTCAAAGATTCTAGAAATAATGCTCTGTGAATATGTTAAAGATACTATTTTGTTTTCTACATTTCATATTAATGTAAATGTGTACAATGTACACAATATACACTTATGGTTTTTTGTGGTATAAGCCGGTAAACGAGCTGACGGATTACCTGATGGTAAGCAATCTTGGTCGATTTCCGGGTCGGGCAAAATACTATAACTTTTTTTTTATCCCAGTAGTAGCACGGACATCAGACGATATTGCGCCCTGTATATGCGACTTAGGTATGTAGGTGTTAGGCTCACTCCTATTACATGGGACTCATGACATAAATAGTAAAAAGTGGGTGTTACATTGTACAGTGATATTAAGTGCTGTATCTGCACCTCTGCCAACCCCTTTGGGGATAATAGGCATAATTTTATATCGAGGGGTAACGGGCTATTTGGTTTAAGCGACATTTTGGGCGATATTGAGTTATATATATATTCGGAATCAGCGAATTTTTCTCCGTCGAATGATGCCGGTTTCATTAAAATCGGAGCACTTTTTTGGCGTTTCAAACAATTCTATTTTCATGTTGTTTCCAAAGGGGCAGTGTATTAAACGACATGGATTTCGCATTTTTTATTAAATTATGTACTTGAACCATACCATCATATTAATAACCGAGACATAAACCAGTCACCCTATCTCTAATTATTAAGTCAACATGAGTTAAAGCGTTTTTCTTGTTTCTAATTTTTATTAACAAGTAACTTGAATCATTTTGACTTCCCACTAATCACACGGTGTGATGTCGCTTAAAACATTTGTCCGTCATCCAAATGCGTCATGGTACGTCTCTTAAACATTTCTAGCTGCCTCTATTTTCCACGCAGGGTGCTACTTAAACCAAATAGTTGTTTTCGTTTAGATATTTTGTTTAGTCATAAACCATTTAACCCTCCTTTTTTTTAAATGCATGTCGTTTTATACAGACGATAACATTGATAATGAATATTAAAACATTTTTCCAGTATTCATAGAAATACGAGTCGGTCTTTCAATCACTAAGTTTTAATATGGTACATTTCAATCATGTCATATGATACCATATTTATTTCATCGCCCTGATGTTAAAAATCGTTATCATCCAACTGGACTATCGTGCGCTGGCGCTTCAGTCACTCCAGAGTGCGCCGAAGACAGACGGGACGCGCACACACCGCCAGTGTTTACGTAAAACGCTCATCGAAATTGAATCCTAAGTACTTTAATTTCAAGATGAACCTCGCAGTAGTTCGAAGACTTTGGCGACAATGACAATTTAAAGGCTATTGTGGAGGCTGATGACATACAATCTACGGCTGATTTAGCAGCAGCTTTCGACCTTAGCGTCAAAACAATATTGGTCCATTTGCGTCAAATTGGCAAGGTAAAAAAGCTTGACAAGTGGGTGTCCCACAAACTAAATGATCAACAGAGCTAAGTATGCATCGAGCAGTGCGAGGGGGACTGGGATGCCGTCTCCTC